AAAATAAAAAAGTTTTGCTCATATCTTTTTGTTATATTTTATAAACTCAGATAGTTAATTTTATAATTCTATAATTTTTAATACATTTTTAATAAATATAAGAATTTTTATTTTAAAGTTTATATTAAAGCTTTTTATGGATTAATTCAGAAAATAATGAATCATTATGAAGGTGATGGTTGTATATAATATCAGCTCTTAGTTTGCTCATTACAAGAGCTTTTGTTGACTATACAATAAAAAAAATTTAGAATACTTTACACAAATATAATAAATTAAATAAAGTATATTTAAATATAAATTATATATATCATTAATCGATTACAACGCTTTATTTATAAAAATCCCATATAACTCTAAAGCCTTTCAATTAGTATTGTACAATAGATATTATCTGCGAATACGAACATTCTGAGACATATTCAGGATTTTCATCTGTCTACATGTCCCATAATACTATTATTAAATAGAACACGTCTGCCATTTCCAAAAACTATTTGGGATAATATTTATATGTTTAGCAGTCTGCGCTAAGCCACAAAAAAATTTTTTAACAATATGTCACTTCATGTTTTACTAACCAAATATATTGTTAGAATAGAAGGGAAAGCTAATAAAAATAATCTTAAAACTTACTGTAAATTATGTATTGAAGAACTAGGAGATGAAGAAGGATGTAAAACTTGATTTCCAAATAAAACTGATTGAATTATCTAATATTTAAAAAAATGTTTCCATTTTTTTGCCAAAACAAACAAAGAACAAAAAGAAATTTTTGGACTGAACAATAATCCTGCAAATGCTAATAGTAGTACTAATACAAGCTTAATTTCTAATAAGAGGTCATGTAAGTATTTTAAATTTTTATTTTATTGTCATATATGATAATTATATACATTGTTTAAATAATTATTATAATTATTTTAGTTTCATCTCAATCATCATTATCGTCCCAATCGTCATCATCATTCCAATAATTATTATCCCAAACATCATCTTAAACATCATCTTACCAAATAATCAACCAGTCTTCATACTATAGATTTATAGATAATTACATTATCTGAAGTTTATCCAAAGATAATTTAAAAAAATTTCACATATTATTGCTTTGGCTTTCAGTTTATTGTAGATGGGCATTATTATAGATCAATATACTTGAGATAAAGGAATTATTTAACTTTTTAAATTCTTTTCTTAAGTTACCTGATTATTGTGTTCTTAATGGTGATATTTTAAAAGAAGCTGTGGCTAAAGCAGATAATGCTATGGAAATTGCACTTAAAGAGAATCTAGTAGGTGTAACTTTAACTTATGACAGATAAACCAATGTTAATAATGAACAATTGTTAGAAATAGTCTTATTAATCTCAGAAGGAAGGCTTTATATTTGAAGGCAGTTGATATTAGTTCTGAGCGTGAAAACTATACTGAAGTAATAAAAAAAATTGAAAAAATGCTTAAAGATTTAAAGAAAAAAGAAATTAATGTTTGTGCTATTGTTACTGATAATGCATTAGCATATGCAGTAGCCCAGTATGATAAATTAATTTATTATTGCTTTTAATTTATTTATTAATTTAAAAACTTATATATATTTTTATGCTAGACGTTGATTAAGAATATCCAATAGAACAATTACATTATTATCATGTTTTGCTCACCAACTTAACCTTTGTGTGAATGAAATTTTTAAAGAATCTACAGAGTTTAAGACTTCAAAGCTTTTCACTTACTTTAAAAATATAAATTATAAGTTTTTTATTGCATATTTGCGAGCTCAACAATAGAAAACTTATAAAAAATGTATTATAATAGCAGTTTCTTGAGTAATACAGTGGAATAGTCTTTATAGAATATGTATTAGTCTTTTAAAAACTCAAAAAGTATTGCAAGTAAGTTTATTTAATATTATTTTATTAGCATTAAAAATTTAAACTTAATTTTTAATTTTCATTTTTATTAGATACTAGCTATTAAATATGAATCACTATTAGTTGTAACTCATCATAAAATAGGAGAAACTCTAACCTTATCATGTAAAATCTTTGAAATTAATGACTCTATTACATTTTGGAATCAAATTACGATTATTAGTCAAATACTTGATCCATATTACAAATTACTTAATATATTACAATGTGATAAAGCACAGCTGTTTCAAGTAATACATAGTATAGGTTATTTAATTCAATTTTAGTCAAATTATTCAGATATTGCATTAGCTTCATGAATAATTGACTAATTGGAAAAGCGTTGGAGAGAGTGGAAACAACCTCTTCTTTTATTATCTTATTTACTGCATCCTGAATATAGAATGAAACAATTTAACAATTCAGTTTCTAATATCAATTATTCAGAATTTGAAAAGTGGCTTATATATTATTATCGTGTATGATCTGGAAAGGAACTAAAATGTATTCTTTGTAAATTTGATGACTTTTGATTGGCCAAGTATCCTTTTGATCTTAACTCATACAGAAAATTTAACAATGATATTCGGTATTATTGGTATTACATGTATATTAAGTAAATATATTGCTTAAAAAAGCTAAAAATATATAAAGCGTTTATTAATTATAAATGTTTTTATATAAGTAGTTATAATACTAAATCATATTTATTCTGATTTAATGAATAAGAATTTAATTCATGCGGCCAAAATACTGTGGTTGATCACCAATTGAATTTGGCCACCGACAAATTACGCCTTTGTAATTATTAATTATATCTTTGAGTAGTGAGGAGATGTCAGCCAATACTTAAACTTGATAAAGAAGTCGAATCTGCGCAGCAAATAATTTGGATTACTTAATCATCGTGGAACGTGATATCATATCGTCTTAGATTAACTCGCTCGTTTTGTTTAATATTCAATTACTTAATTACTAAATTACTCATTATTCAATGGCTTCGCTTCCTTCACTCCCAGAAGAGTTGAAATTTATTAATCAATACCTTCAACGAGGTCAAGAGACGCGAAAAAAAGAGCCCGTGATATCTTATTATTGTAAGACTTTTCAAAGTACTTATATTCACCTGCGCGTTATTATTGCTTTGTCTCATTTTTTCTTGTTTCTAGGTAATTATTATGCCGCAAAACTTGCTCTTGAAAAGGGAACAAAGGACAAGGAGAGCAAATTATTCCTTACCAAATTATTAGATATTCTAGAACAAGTAAGACATCTTTAACTAAATAAGCAATGTAAATTTATGTTTAAAATCTCTCAAATTTCAAATGATTATTTAGGAAAAGAAAGAACTTGCAGATAATGAAGCTGTTACAAATGACATTGCTGGTGAGGCATACGTGGAGAATTTTGCACTGAAAGTTTTCACAAAGGCGGATAATGAAGATAGAACCGGAAAAGCGACAAGGTTTGCTTTGTAGCAACCAAGTTATCAATTAATTGATTAATTTAGTTCTAATGTATATAAATGTATATAATATATATTATTTTTTGGATATGTAGAAATACGGCCAAAACTTTTTTGGCATCATCTTTATATATAGAATTGCTCAAATTATTTGGGAATATCAGTCCAGAGGTAAATTTTTTTTTTTGTAATCTTTAATTTTATTTAATATATATATATATATATAGGTTTTAATTATGAAATTATTCTAAACAGCTTGAAGATAGAATAAAATATGCAAAATGGAAAGCGATCGATATAACTAAGGCGTTAAAAGAAGGTCGAACTCCTGTGGCTGGACCACCCGGAGGTGAACCCTCTTTGCAACAGCCAGGATTCGAAGGAAATGATCAGACAATTAATAATAATCTTCCTGATAATATCACGTTCTCTTCGGCTCCAATATCGTCGGATTTAGCATCAACAACGACTCCCTCTTTAGATGGCGACACGTTTCCATCATTTCCATCAGCACCAACTCAAGATCAACCACCTGGTTCTATTATCGATACATTTTCAAATGCTCAAGATTTGGCTTCGTCGTTTGACAATTTAGATTTAATTGGGAAGCAAACCGTACCACCCCTTCCACCAAAAGTAAATGATTATGGAAATTTTCCTGATAATCCATTCGCTCAGCAACCGTCAACCCTGAATTATTCTCCTCCACCTGGCGCAAATAGAATTAATTTTTATGATACTCCACCACAACTTCCTCCTTCTATACCACATGCAGGTTTTACAAATGATTACGTTCAACCTCAACAACTTCCTCAACAACCTCATCAACAACCTCATCAACAACCTCATCAACAACCTTCTCAACAACCTCATCAACAACCTCATCAACAACCTCCTCAACAACCTCCTCAACAACCTCCTCAACAACCTTCTCAACAACCTCATCAACAACCTCATCAACAACCTCCTCAACAACCTCATCAACAACCACCACCACCACAGACACCTCTTCTTCCTCACAGTTCCTTCTCACCTCATCCACAAGCACCGCCTCAAAATTACACTCAACCAACTAATCTCGTCAATCCCCCACACCAACATCCTTCATTTTCAGCACCCGCATCTTACCCACAAAGTCGACAAAAATATGGCATGTACTCGTATCCTCAAACGCCACAAAATGAAATAGATCCGACTACGGTCGCCACCGTTCAAAAATATTGTAAATTTGCAAGTAGCGCGTTGGATTACAATGATGTTAAAACAGCTGTTGGTTATATGAACAAAGCACTTGAAACCTTGAAACCATACAACCAATAGCGTCAAAGTACAGGTAAATTATATATTTGTATTAGAAATCATTTATATTTTAATGCTTGACTACATCATAGAATCGTAAAATACATTACGTAATATATAATAATATTTATAGATATTTATTGTTTTATGTGAACGTAATTTACATCACGATATTTATTAATAAACGAATTTTTTTAATACATTGAACTCACAATCGGAATTAAGGATATTTATGAATACGTATCTAATGAAGAAAAAAAAAAAAAACCGTGTGATAAACGTATTTTTTGTCTACTATTCTATTCTATTTCTTTTTATACCGTTTATCCATAAATCAATCTAAGGACCAAATACCAAACGCATCCGAAAGCTCTAAAAGCCGAAAGGCAAGTAACCGACCAAAACACTATCGAAGCAACAAAGCAAAACTAATTAGTAAATTAATAAAACGAAATAAATGATAAATAATAATAATTATAATTATCTCGCGAGGAATACCTACCAAACGTTAAATAAGGATTATAGGAAATACTAGCGTTTTTACTCTGAACCAATTCATTCCAAGTATTTGAAGTGAAAAAGACAACCAAGGCGGCATTTGAAAACATCCAAGCTAACACTAAATTAGTTCTAAACATTTTATAGTAATCATCCTTTTTAGTAGCAGCATCACGATGTTGTTTTTCTTCCAGTACTTTAACTTTCAAATCTTTAATCAAATCATCATAAACAGCATTGACATCGGCTTTTTCATGTGGTACCTCAACTTGCATCAATTTCTTACCATCTTTACCAGCGACAGGTTGTGCATTACTTCCACCAGCGTTACCATTATCACCTTTGGTACCCCAAGAAACATCATGAGTATTACAAAAAGCGTATACCATCAAAATATTTACATAAAAAGGAATCAATAAAGTGTATTGAATCAAACAAGTAAACATGTGCCAAGGTTCACCATGTAAGATTGATGAACCAAAATATAATCCATAAGTTGAGGCCAATGAGATTACTATATCACGAAACTCGGCACTTTTAAATGCGTTCTTTATACTTGCTACGTTTTTAAAATCGGCAAGTTCATTTACGCTAATGGAAACCGTATAAAATGCACAATATAACATCGTTGCCATAATTATCGCGAATAATATTATACAAAGGAGATAAGTTTTTTTAGAACCTTGTGGTCGATTACCCATAGAACAGATAAACATTGTTACTATAACCATCAAGTATAATGAACGGACTAAATTAAATAGGTCATTTCCGTATCCTTTGAATGGATCGTATTTTGGATTTGAAGTTGTAGCAGATGTCAAGAAAAAGAATGCCAAATAAAAGTTTCCCTGCAAATTATACGATGAAAGCAAATTAACACGAAAATTCATGTGATACATTCTTTTTTTTTTTTTTTTTTTTTTTTTAAAAAAAAAATTATTTAATTACCAGAGCAAACCAATTGAAGAGAAGATTGATCGAATTATAAATGAATTCAATTTGTAAAAGGATTTTACGCAAAAATGGTTGACCAGAAGTCCAAATACGCGTGAAATTAGCAACGGAATAGAAAGCGGCAAAGAAAGAACCATTTAACCATCTACGACGTTGTGAAATGAATTCCGGCACATTGTCCGGTACATCCGTTTCGGCCTTAGCTGACTAAAAAGAAAAAAAAATAAATAAAATAAATTAAATTAACATTTAAAAAGAGTTCATACGCTGAGAATTTGTTTGTTTTATATCTACCTTCACGTATTTTAGAGTCCAAGATTCGTTAGATTTTGCGACCAATTCAAAACACAAGATACGATCTTCGGCCAAATACATATTAGATTCAAAGATACCAGCGGAGGCAGCACCAGCCCCATGCATAGCTTCACCTTTAAAATAAGAAGCCAAAGGACCTTTACCGGGTTCGGTATTCTGTAATGCTTTATATCTATAAGCAGAGAAGGCACCTGGTAATACAGAGATATAACCAAATACCGATTCCAAAGGTTTATCCAAAATATTTGACATTTTATACTCGAAATTTTGAGATGCAACCAAGGGATTAATTAAATTTTTCCAAGAGGCACCAAGTTCGGCCTTAATTTCACCGCAAGCACCACCAACGTTCGGATCTCTGTCGAAAGCTTTCCATAGATGATAAACAGAAGTATGAGAAGGTTTCGTACCAACATCCAATAATATACAAACATTTGGATTTAATTGGGCCGCAAAAGCGTTAAAGAACCATCTATGACTATTTAATTTCTTTGCATTTTTTTCCTTTAAA